CAGCTAGACACAGCGCGGATGTTGAGGTGAACCCTTTCTTCCTTAATTCCCCTGGATATTGTGAAATTTCACAGTCGATATCCGACAGAAATTCCTCTATTGATTTCCCATAATTCATTCTGATTTTCAAAACTGCAAAAGACAAAATGCCTGTATGCGTTGCTGACTTTGCTCCTCTTCAAGTGTTTGCGGAGTGACGCCAAAACGTTCCCAAGTGGGCGGGTAAACTTTGAAGTTTGATTGTTAAAACTTTGAATTTTGATTTACCGACAGTTGCAAGCGACGGTAAGACCTTTTCTGAACGTTTCCTCCACAAGGTTCTTCCTTTGTAATAGCTAGTAGTTACAGTGTAGTTACGGCACGTATTTCAAAAAATTTATTGGAAAGTTCGACTGATCGTGTGACAGGAAGTCACGCCAACATTTTACCAAATTAGGTTTGATGTTAATGACAAAACAAACACGCTTCAATGTAGTGAATGGGGTTGACAAGCCTCCGATTCACGACTCCTATGGTTTGTGACATTTGGAAAAAAAAAAAAAAAAAACTCAGAAAAAATATTACCCTCGACCCTTGACCCTCGACCCTCGACAAAAAGATAGACTCATTATTTGCCGGCTTAGGGTCGGTCCGTATAGTGAAAAACTGTGACCTCGGGCTTGAAAAACTGTATAGTGAAACGGTGTAGTGAAAAACTGTGACCTCGGCCTGCGGTCTCGGGCAGCATTTTCAAGACCTCGGTCACAGTTTTTCACCATACGGACCTCCCAGCCGGCAAATAACATATATATACTGCCGTGAATTATCGAAAATGTCACCGAATGATGTTCCGCAATACGACACCCAACTCTGTCTAAACCCAGAGATTTTCATTTTAGCATGTGAGGGTTGAGTACAGGGCAAGCGCAAAATCGTGTGAGATATCCAAACGTATAAAGGGTAACCTATATCAGTTTCTTTCCAGAATATCCACCACCTTGATATTTTACAAATTATTCGAGCAAAATTAGACATGGTGATCCCTCGGGTGAGACTCGCGATGTTCATAAGTTTTTCCTGTAGAACCCTACTTATGTCAAGTAACCTAGAAGGAAATTTTCACGATATCTCCAAAACCCCAAATCAGGGATTGTCAATCGCTCCAGCCAGACTCGTGAAAGGACCGGAACAACAATACATCAATTTCCACGTACTACTATATTCGTTATGCGCCATTTTGGAGTCCAATTTTTAATTAAAATATTTTTAATCCTATCAACCAAATGATAACAGCTCATCTGACGCAGCACGTAAAGAACCGCAACACGTAAAGCAAATATTTCGTGTTGATACAAATGAACTATGAAGGTGAAAAATTATAATTTTTTCCCGATTTTATGCCAATTAGCCTTTGAGCGACGTCATGACTTGCTTGAGTGTGATGCTTAAAAGAACCACGATTTGAAGAAGTGTCATATAGTGGGATGAGGATGGAAACCAAAAACTGAGAAAAAAAGGTCCTTACTTTAGAGTTGTAGTGTTTGGTTAGCGCCAAATAGTGCACGTCTATAGTGTGCTTTGTTCTTGTTGCTTTCATTCTTTTTCCGTCAAAAACGTAGTTTCCATAGAGACGTGGACATATTACTTTCAAATGGAGCGAAATGCCAAACTGGTGTTATGCTTAAGACGAAAAACACTAAACGGATAACAATAAACCAAGAGTAAGTGTCAGTAATACAAGGACGTCCTAGACGAAGCACCCTTCGCCCACGTGATGTTCATGAACCTTCGAGTTAAAAGTTTAAATACGTCATGTTCACCAGATAAAATTTATCTGTCAATCAGTAAAATAAGTCGATAGCTTATTGTGCTTTTATTGAAAACAAAGATCAAACTATTAATATGACCTTGAAGTTACATCAAGGTTGAACCAAAACCAGGAAAGAAAGATCCCGAAAGGCAAGCCTAAATAAGTCATACATCAACTGGCGAAGCACGTCGTATTTATCAGACTATTGAGCTCCGCCACTTCCCCTCTACCGCTCGCCTGTCTCTGTATTAGGATTGAATCGCACGTGTCGATGTATAGTAGCTTTTAAAAAGGAAATTAAACTATCTGATATGCAACGACAAAACAAAGCATGGAATTCCGTACTCAATTTGTAACAAAGCTATTACAACAGCCCTTTTCTGATTTGCCCGATATTGTCTCAGCTACATGCTGAATTATATTGTAATGCAAATGAGAAAAGTTAACCATGAAAAGGGCAATTAATTCTCGTCAACTAGGGACCGGTAACAGTGCTTATCCAGTAATTAAAATTACTGAATAACGTAAAAGTGTTTTTTAAGTTTTTTATTAATTTAAAAGTTAATGATCGAAGGCTAAAATAGGACAAAATGGAACTTCCTTTTCAAACTGTTAATTATCACTCCTATTTCAATTTTTCTCTCTGCATTTTGCAAAGAACTTGTCCTTGAAGAATGAGTCTACCCCCTCCATCAAGCAGGCCGGGCCACAAATAGCACAAAATCTCCTCACCCAAGCTTTCTTCATTTCCTGGGTTTTTCTCAGTCGAGTTCAGATATGCCGTTTTCTTGTGAATGTGGCGATCAAACCTGGGGAAATGGTATTCGAGTTGCAATGGAGGAAGCTGTGTGACCATTCGCCAAGTTAAACGAATGCATGCCTTGATGTAACTATCCAGTTTAACCAATACTTCTCGAGTAGGTGCGTGCACGACTGATGCATCCTTGGCAAACCATTCAGTCCACTTTTTCCAGGAACTTTCTGTAACGTCCTAAAATAAGCAAGTGACGATCATTTTAAAACGTGTATTTGAAAGGAGAAAAACACTGCGAGAAATCCACAAATAATATTACTAATATCTCTTGCGCGGATAACTCACAAAACAATTAGCAATTTTTGCCTCTGACAAAATGTGTTTTTTTTCCGTTTTGTGAGTTTTTTCCTTTCGGTTTTGTGGCACTTGTGTCTTTTTGATAGTTTGTCACTTCTTTACCTTAGTGTTTTTAATTCAAATCGCCAGTCATCGTTTGCACGATCATTTAAGCAAGAGCTTTCATAATTTACGATGTTGTATCCCTTGCATGTTGCCTTGGAATTTTCCACTGAATTAAAGATTAATTTGTCACTGATTGTAATATAATATTAATGATGATATCAATATTAATTTTATATTCGGCAGTAAAGAGGAAACTCACCTTTTCTAGACACTCGAGGTTACAGATATGCGCTGTTTCTTTCAAAGAAATTAACAAAGCATCCAGGACATCTGTTGATTTCTCTGAAGCGTTGAGATCATCAATGGAGATCGGGTAAATGTCAAAACTTCCCTCCTTAAAATAAGAAAGACCAACAACTCTTGAGTCTTTTAGACCACTGAATTACAGATTTTATCACGACTGTGAAACCTTCTTCATTGTGACTGGCTGATCGCAGGCAAATTCAACGTTAATTTTTAATTTGCACTGTAGTGCAAATTAACGCGCGCACGTACGCTCGTAAATTTCTTCCCATGCAATTCGGTCTAGCAGTAAATGAGGATTTACTCTATTCGTGATGTTAAGGTGGCTGACAACAGCATTTCCTTAGCACGTCTAGTTTGACATATCTATACTACCATTCTTTTTCAGTTGATGCTACAGCAATAGCATCTAAACCATGACTTTGGTGAGCACGTTATGATCATTTTAATTGCATTACAAGTTACTATGGTAACGCTACGACTTGTTGCAAACACAAGTGTTTATAAATCAAAATCTAGGGCTGGGATCCCCATTTTTATCAACGATTTGTTATTACAAAGTCAAAATAGAACTTTAAACAAAGTTTTAAAACAATCGCAAAGGCGGTGTCAGAGCCAACTTAAATTTTCAAAAATTCTGAACGTTTAACACGGACTCGCTCTTGAGTTATAAATGCGTGAAGCCAAATTAAAGGGTGTTCTTAACACGTTGCGCTATAGCCATGGTATTTTTTACGTCGCACAATTGGTCATAACTTTTTTACCAATAACGGTTGGGCATTTTATTGATACCATTATTATAGCATCAACTGAAAAAGAGTGACAAAACTGATTATCAAAGAATATCTTTTTAAGAATAATTTCTGGAGACCGTTGTAGGCAACCTTAAAGTGTAAATCCTTAATTGTACTATCATTCGTACTATTACTTATTCAAGTACTGTATAGACAGTCGCAATTTCCCTCACGAAATAGACAAAAATCGTCCCGCCCGAGGGCTGCGATCCCTCCAGACCTTTTTTGGCTGCTTTTCTCTAAACAAACGCAAGCAAGAACTGTTTCGAAACTATAACGCGATTTGTAGAGAAAGAGATAGAGCTGTAGACAGAGCTCATGATCATTTGGTAAAGGAACTAACAAAATGGTTGTCAAGTTGAAGGATTTTTCACCTTACCACAGACTTTATGACTGGCTCAGCAACATTCATCAAATTCATGTTGCAAAACGTTCTATCGATTAAACGTATTTTAACATGTAGAACCATTACATCAAGGGTGGATTTTTTTGTAGATAATTGTTTTTCTAGTTGTAATGGCAAAAATGAGGCGATTTTAAACAGCTTTTTTCGAATATATATTCTAGAATGTTCTGGAACCATTTCTAGGTAGGCGTTATGGTTATTTGTCGATTAAAACATATAACCACATCGTACTGTATACTATAATTTCCTCACCGTCCTTTTAAGCCTGAAATTGTAGCCCTCTTGAGGAGCATGGAGAACCATATTTTTCGTTACTACCTTGAACAAGTCAATCACGGCTTCTTTGACATCCTTCGCGTGCTCGTAAGCAGTCTAAAATGAACTCCTTATTAATACCATTTCACGCGTGACGTAATTGTTCTCAATACTACCGCTACAACGCTACGTAAAAACGCGTTAACGCTGGGTAAAATGCACTGTTTCATTTTTATCTTTCATTTATTTTATCATTCATTTTTTGTTACCAAAGAATATTGGTACAAAACAAATTAGATAGTTATAAAGATTAACAGTGGAAGAGGTGACGAGGCCTAGTTTAAAGCTGAGCTGAAGGATATCTTCATTTCTTAGTACAGACTGGACAGGTGGAAGTACAGCAGTAAGCAATGTTTATGGTGTTTCCCAGATTTTGGGGTCCACAGTGGGCCATTTTATTTATTTTCGAAGTGAACCTTCTGGATGAGTTTTTCTTTTAAGGCAAACTTTGTCAAAACACATACGTTACATAAACAAAAGAATGAGCCAATGAGCTTAAAGGAAATGTCCGCCAGTCTGTCATCCTTACTTGTTTTCAACTTTATGACACAACAATCAGTATCTTAAGGAGGTTATATGGTGCTATAGCTAGATGATGGAATCAAATACAACGTACCTCTAATATTGTGCATGCTATTCTCGGATAGTAAAAGTGAACGTCAATCTCCTCTTCTGATCCATACAAAGACTGGATTATGTCTCGGGCGTCTTCTCTTCTACTGTCAAAAAATTCTCTAAAGTCGTTTTCCACTTCAGACTGCTGATTTGATGCAAGTATATTTTCAACCTTCCTCTGATCTTGTTTCACTCGTTTTTCGCAGATACCAGCAAACCTTGGAGACAGGAAAACCAAGTAGAACTACAGTGACAGAACATGTGCATATTTATGTGCATATTTATTTGCTTGACCGAATTTTACAAAACAGGAACTTAGTAACAACTGGGTTAAGGTAGTAATACATGATCAAGATTTGGTAAATGTAAATTTCATTTGCTCCTATTGACGGGACAGACTTGTCCTTGTCGATATGTCGTCTTCATAATTAATTATGACTTAAATTATTCCCAACATGGCATTTTTTTTTCTTGTTTAGGATAATTCTTGGCAGGCTTCAGGGCACTTGCTCATTAAGAAATCCATTACCCACATTTCACGAGTAAACACAGAGAAGAGATTTTGAGATACGACGTGGAAAAATCAAAATTTCCAAATCAAAGCAACCTCAGCATTCAAAGCACTTGTCAGTATGATTTCTAAGTGAAGTGGGCGAACCAAAGTGACTAAAGAAATACGACTAACTGTCACCATTTTGTCCTGATAAGGTGGCGGATTTGTGTCTACCTTGAGTACAATTACATGTACCGCATAATAAATAATTCTACCGTTCTCATACGTATACATGCACAAAGAGTGTTAAGTGTTTTTGTTCAAAGAAGGTGAAAGGTGAAAGCCGAAATTTCCGTACCTGGATTTGAACTGTCCCAGTTCTTCGTTGAGACGTTTCACCTCTTTTTCCCTCTGTGACAGTCTACACGAAAAATGAAAAAAAAAAAAAAAACAGAATATACGCATGCTGGTCTGTTCCTAAAGTTCAGTAGCAACAATGACGCCAGCCTCCCCTATAAAATTCCATAGAAATGAGTAAAATGTTATTTCACAGTGAACATCGCGATAGAAACTCAGCGGATTTCTTTTTAGTGTCTTGGTATTTCAAATTATTGTTGCCTCCTATTGCACTGAAGCCATAAGGAAGGCGTCTGGCATTTTATTTTTCATTAGATATAAATCCAGATGTTTTTAATTACCTTTGTTTCAGTTTTTTCACTTCGATCTCCTTAAGTGACAAGTCACTTTTGTGTTGTTCTTCTTGATGCTTGAACCTAAAAATGTCATGGACACACTCAGTTTGAGTGAATCCAGGTTTAACAGATTAGAAATGCACAAACACATAAAAGATTTAGAATGACGCTCTGTTTCCAAAATTGGCTCTCATAGAAAAATACTTATTTGAAAACGAGTTTCATTTACGTAAACATAACATGTGAGTAACGCTAATTTTGTATGGAAGTGTTTCTACCAGGCCCCATTGTGGTAACAGGTCATTTCTAAATCATGTGACCTATAAGACGCCCACCCAAGAGCTGTCCATGACTTAACCGCTTGATTAAAGTTTGTGTGTGCATTGATGAACAGACGCCAGTCTCGAAACGTCTGTGACTGTACAAGCAACAGGACGTATCTCGATTACTATTTGCTGGACACAACTCGTTCAGCAACCGTCCAGCATTAATGAACTGCATTAATTAGCTTTGATATTGATGAAAATAGTAGTTCGTGGAAAAATATTTTGCATATGATGGTCCTGCTTCAGCAAAAATAAGGGACATGTAGTGCTCGATAACAATCACAAACGACGACAACCGGGATCGAACCAAATTAGAGCAAAAATCACATTGGATTATTTTCATCATTATCATTTATTTGCCACGTAAATAATAACAAAAGATATTGACAATACTAAAAAAGCGGCGAGGAGAACTCCAAAAGAAACCACCAGGCTTATAACGGAGGCCACCTCAGAAGTTTTTTTTTTTTTTTTTTCAGAAGTTAATATATTGATAATTTTAAGTTCTGCGGACGAGGCATTTTGTCCGAAGTTACTCTTTATATCAGTAAAGGTAATCTATGAGTGAGTCCATCAGCAATGTTTTTTTCTTACCTTTCTACGTAATGACGCAATTCATGTTTCTTACTTTCTATTTCAGTGTTCAAATTTTCGTTACTGTTTCAGACAAATTTAAAAAAACATATATATAATTAGTAAAGTCTTTGTTCTGAAAGAAAACAATTAAAGCAAAACGTACATATTTGGCTTTTTTCCATGGCCTCACTGTAAAATCGACCGCATCCCCCCCTTATTTTTTTTCTCGAAGGATGGTACAAGGGAATGGAGTGGGGAGGCAGAAAGGTACCCTGCCATTATTATTTTTAATTTTTTTTTTACGCTATGATAATGAAACTTTTATGGTGTGATGAGAGTATATAATGTGTACCATAAAAATCACGTAAGCTGTAATAGAAAGGAGGGCTATTTTCAGTAACGATTTTTGTACAAATGTAAGTCGCGATTAAGTTTTTTCGTTAGGGCTATGTATTCATATTTTATTTAACTAAAGGCCATTCCTTTCCATCATATATCACACATCATGTGATAGCATATGGTCAACACCAAAAACAATCTGTAGTTGCGAAACAAGGCATACTTACTCCTTTTCTTTCTCAGCTAACTCTTTCCTACTAAGTTGTGTCTCCTTGTCGTGATCCTCCTGTCTTGCACGAAGCTCCTCTCCAAGCTCTGCAATTCTGGAAGAATTCCCACCAAGCCTTTTAAACATCTATATTATTAAAATGTGCAACTAGAAACGCGCGACGCACTCTTAAGACCTCTCACTAACGACAAACCTAATGGGGAATAAGCGGGGGAGGCAAAAAGGTCCCCTGCTCTAATAATTTTTAATTTTTTTTACGCTATGGTAATAAGACTTTTATGGTGTGATGGGAGTATACAAAGTATACCATAAAAGCCATGTAAGCTGTCATACAAAGGAAGACAATTTCATAAGCCTTCCTTGACAGAAATATTGGCTGCGCATGCATTTCCAATGAAACGGCAGACTCACGGTATGTCAGTTGAATTCTTTTTTGATGTTCTTACCTTTTTCTCCACTCCTTATTTTCACGAGTTAACTCTGCATTACTGCAAATTAACAGAGCACATGACAGACAGTCAGTAGCTACATTATAGACTACAAAATAGACTGGTTTACGTGTAGTTAAATTATGGTAACATTAACATTATATACCACCATTTCATATTTCTAAGTTTCAAGGCTTGAACAAATGTGTCCTGTTCAATTTCGTACTATGGACAAAAACTTGTTTCCTTTTCTCTGGCATCTATTAGAAATTTGGGAGGCATAATTTTGCCGAGTACTTTTTAGTCATTAGCCACAAAAGGTCAAAATGGGCTACACTTGACCTCTTTTTTGAAGTCGCAATGCAATACCGCATATCGCATATCGCTCATTGATACATTATAGCGACGTATTCTAATTAAGGTAACGTTTTTCATTTGTATCTTCATGTCTAAAGACGGCGAAATACGAGATACAAAAACCCTCAACTTGTTGCGCAACACTGTTTCGTTGCAAGTTTTGGTCGATGTTTCCCGTTTTTCACCTTGCGTGATCAACTTGTCGCGCAACAAAAACATTTGTTGCGGGTTGAAGTAAGTTGTTGCGAAAAGCAGAGCGCGGGTCTACTTTGACCAACAAATTTTGGCTTTGTTGCTCGTTTTTTATCAAACTCACAACTTGCCACGCAACAAATTTGCTGATGTTGCGCGATAAGTTGAGGGTTTTGTATCTCGTATTTCGCCGCCCTAAACGCCAGAAGGCTCATGTGTATACCGAGAAATTACGAGTGACTCACAGGATATTTTATGGTATTCCACTCCGAAGTGTTGCATAACTAGTATGTATCGTCGTGCAAACAGTAAAAGATGGCGAAATATGAAAGTGTAAAATGTATTAAAGTGCTACTATGATCAAAAATTCACTTCCCCTTTTCCTTCAAATTTTGAAAGCGTGTTTGTTTGACACCTGACTGGCAAAATCTTGAACTTCGAATTTTATCCAAAGGCTGTTTTCTTTGAGTGCAAGTTTAGGATTTCACGGCCGTCATTTCACATTCAAGACTGATCGATTGGACCTCAGAGGGTTGGATCGAGGATGAGTTAGATGACGTCAAAGACTCACCAGCTTAAAATTGCAGCGTATAAACGCAGCTTATTGTACATTCAAAACACGAGTTTAAAAGTCTGAAAGTTCGAAACTCCCGTGCTGCATATTAATTTAGGCGCTTGCACATTTTTAAACTAGTGAGTCTTTGACGTCATCTTATCCTCGATCCAGCTCTCTCAAGATTTTAAAGTTAGTAATGGCGGACCATCAATTGGGAAAATTTCAGTCAAAATAAACAGGTGTCTTTGAAATGAAGGCTTAAAACTTCGGTCACTTAGTGGTTCAATTATATATTTTTGAAATACAAAGAAAAAGTAGAATTGATTTTTGGTCACAGTAGTACTTTAAGCTACATCAACAAAATCAGAATTCACGCTGCACCTACCTGGCTTCTGATCTCTTCAATCTGGTCTCCTTGTCTCTCAAATCATCGACGTAATGTTGTTTTGCCTTTTCTTGCTCTATTTCCCCTTTATGCAGTCTGCAATAGAAAGGTCAATAATTTCAAGGTGCTAGCATGGACAGATCTACATCTTTGTTTGGGTTGGTTTGGTTTTTCACTTGAATTAGAAGTTTGGTCTTTTTAATGGTAAATATATTTTCGCCTTTAAATCATATTTATGTTTTAGAAAGACTAGGAAAAGCCTTGATTGATGAAAATACTTCATCGTGTTACACAGGTTTCTGGTAAATAACATATAACTTACGAGTACTATGTACATGTGAGTCATTTTGTATGTTCTTAGGCAATTTCCCATCCTTAGTTTTGCTTCATCAAAGTCATCTTTAACGTGTTTGGAAGGCCTTGCCTCATGTCGAGGTAATCGACCAATCGTCAGAAATTGGCCAACAAGGGAGAAAATGAATACCCGAATCTACAATAATTCACCATAACTAGAATGTGATTCCATCATGTACAGTTACATTTACAGTAATTACAAAATGAGGCATTAAATGTGCTTAAATGGGAATTTTTCCTTACATACAAATATACACTCAGTGATAAATAGGAACACCTCCCGGCAGTCATTAATACAATTAAGTTATTCGTCCCTCGGTGGTGTTATTCACTCACGTATAACTGTGCTTCGTTCCTCACTACTGGCCATTGAAATAAACTGTGATATACAATGAACGTAACTGTACACTTCGGTATGTTCGACCTGAAAAACCGCTTGGAAACAATGCAAGGGGACGGCTTTCTAAAATACAACAGGTATTAACACTGACATAACTTCATCCTTGTATAACTCGTTAAACATTGTAAGAGAAAAAATGCAACTTACACTTTGTCTTTTTCGGTCATTTCTTGCTTGCTACGTTGCCTCTCTTTTTCAAAATCCTCTTGCAGTGAAATACGTTCTCCTTCAAGCTGTGCAACTCTGTTATTAGTTAAAGAAAGTGATTCTTTCAACAATTAATGCGTTTCCATTTTGTGGCAGTAACTTGTAGACATATACGGATATCAAAAATTCCCGCGAAAAAAAAAAAAGAGATCGCTTGTACGTGTAAGCTAATGGAAGGTCTACTTAAATTAGCTTAGCACATTGCTAACCAATACTATCTACGTACTTTTGTTTGTTCTGGTATATAATAAAGAACTCCATACTAAAAATCATTTTGCTACACGTTATGGCACAAAGAAGTTGCAAATGTACGTTTAAAGGAGCTCAGTCGTGGCAGTTTGAGTTATTTTGGCCAAGTATAAATTATCTTTAAAATGAAGGAAACCTGAGCATAATAGTTAATTAAGGAATTAAGATAGAAGAACGCCAAAGAGATAATAATAAACCATAAAGAAACAAGGATGGTTTAGGATGGAGAAGATTGACACAGACTACAAACGTCGAACTTAAAAAATGTAGGCTAGACTTCTCAAGATATGCGCAAACCGTGACACGTCGGTCCTTTAAAATGTACGTTTAAAAAAAGACAACTGTTTCCAAGAATAGTAAGTCTGGGACACAAGTGAGGCAACTGAATCTGTGGCGTATTTGTACAATTATGCATGATAGTCATTAAGGTGATTCCTTAGAACTAGAAGTTGTCGGACGATTTTTTTTAAACTTTCCGTGAGTGTTGCCTACAAGGCACTGTTTCGAAAAATACAATAAAAACGAACGGTCACCATTCTCGCAAAAGAGTTCAGCCTGCGTAGCAAGCTTTCCCGTATAAAGAGCCTTCTCCGCATTCTGGTTGCGCATAAATTGGAGCGAGAGCAAAATCTCGACGAAGCGCGGCCTGAATACGGAAAAACTAAAAAGAGTTATGATGGGCCATATTTACCCCATTTGTGCCTAGTTGTGTGCGTTATTTCATCGGTTCACGTTACATTTTGTGGTTGCCGGAGGCTAAGTTTTTCAAAGAAATTCTCGAATAGAAACTTGATAGGTGAAATTCTCGAGCATATGCAACAATGTAATATATAATCTATGGGACATTCACACAATTTGAAATGACATCGACTCAAAAAGTTCCTCGACTCGTTGTTTTCAAGATATTTTGCACCTTGAGTAACGGTTCTGCGCCAGTTGTAGCATTTATTTCGCCGTCGAGCTTAGCTTGAAGGAAATCTCTTGCTGTGTTTGTGCAAGCACTCGTGTGCGAGCAAAATGGTACGCAGTAGGGACGCGTAATGCAATTCTGAGGATTTACCTTAAGGTTGCTCAGAACAAATTTCTAGCACTTTCCAAGACGTACTAGTTTTAATGGGTCATAATTACCACTCTTCATCAGTTGATGCCCTATTCATGGCATGGGCAGTTTTTTGATACCCTGATTGTCGCGTCAACAGATCAAGAGTGGTTATGATGATCCATCAAAATATACGTCTTGGAAAGTGCTGAAAACCACTTTGAGCCACCTTGAATAAAATAGTTCTACGGTGTAAAAGTTTTGCGTATACCTTTGATATTAAGCGCCACAGCATCCAGATAATATTCACTGCATTTTTAGCACCATTTGCACACTGTAAACAGATCGCTACATAATATATTTGTACCTTGCTTGTAATTCGTCTATTTTGGTTTTCTGGTCTCTGAAGGACTCATCGTGCTGCTCTTTTACCGTGTTCAACTGTTCTCTCATTTTTGCTAGTCT